CCTAACCAGACTTTCTGGTCTACCTCCTACAACTCTTCCTTCGACTTCACCTCCTTTCTCTCCTATTCCCCACTGCTCCTTCCAGCACTTCTAGTCATTTCTGTCACCTCACTCAGATGTCCTTCCATCTCTCTTCCTGCTCGCTCAACTGTTTTCTCAGCTTTTTTGGTCACTCTTGCCTCTCCCAGCTCCAGAGCACTCTTTGAACTTGACCATAAATGTCTGTTGAGCTGCAATGTGCAAACAGGCTCTGAACAGTTAAATAGCAAGTCGCAGAATTAAGACTTGGACTGTAAAGCTAGTGCTCTCTCTAAATTACGGAGAGCCCAGAAAGCAGGTGTAGAAAGGAAGCTGGAACGCCTGAAGGTGTTTAGCTGCTACCAGGCTTCCTGGAGGCATGAGGAAGCCATCGATAAGAACAGACTGGTTCAGGTTCTAGCTGTTATGGAATGACCTTCATTAGTTGTTTAGCCTCCCAAAATCTGTTTTGTCATTTGTAAAATACGGACAATAAAACATGTTTCACAATAGTAGAATGAAGATTCCACAAAATGACACATACATATGAAATGACACACACACACACACACACACACACACACACACACACACACAGTGCTTGGCATGGAGTAAGCGTCCAATGACTAAACCGGAGACCTTGTTTCTTAGGCCTCGACCATCTCCCGTATCAGCCCAACTGTTGCATCCCTTTCCCACTTTACTGTTTCCTGACCCTGTTCCTTTCAGCTCTAGCATGTTGCAAAAGCTGAACTCTTAGCTGGCGGGGTTGGGCAGTGGGAGGAGTGTCTTTGGAGAGCCCTTCCCTCTATCCTACCCCATGAAATATTGCACCTTCTCAGGGACACAGCTGGCCAAGAGCGATTCAAGACGATAACTACTGCCTATTACCGTGGAGCCATGGTACGAAGTGTGGGTCTGGCCAAGGGATGAGGGCATGAGGCAATAAAATGTAGGTTTATGAGTACCGAGAGGCAGGGTTGGGGCAGGGACAAATGGGGGTGTGCACAGTGTGGGTTGCAGAGGACCCCACATGGCCTAGGGGTTTGACTCGAGGATAAAACTTGCAGGGTCACTTAGAGGGCAGTGGGAAGCCTACAGGGGAAGACGGTCCAAGGCTCCACTGTAAACTCTGCCATCCCTCAGGGCATTATCCTAGTGTACGACATCACAGATGAGAAATCCTTTGAGAATATTCAGAACTGGATGAAGAGCATCAAAGAGGTAAGGGCAGAGCCTGGAGGATGACGGGGATTGTGAAGATGAGCAGGACCCCACTTTACTGGTCTTCCCCTTTTGCTCCCAGAATGCCTCTGCTGGGGTGGAGCGCCTCCTCCTGGGGAACAAGTGTGACATGGAGGCCAAGAGGAAGGTACAGAAGGAGCAGGCCAATAAGGTAAGGGCCAGCCTGGGCAGTGTTCTAGAACTGGGCTGGGAGGGCCACCATGAGGTCGGATGGCGGAGGACGTGGCTGCTGCCCTTTATCCAATTCTTCTTCCCACGTCCCCCCTCCAGTTGGCTCGGGAGCACGGCATCCGATTTTTCGAGACCAGTGCCAAATCCAGTATGAATGTGGATGAGGTGAGGCACCCCCACCCCCACCCCCAAAGAGATGGCGCATCGGAAGGCAGACTATCCCTCTCTCCAGTCTGTTCTGACCACCCTCCTTTCCCCGTTAGGCTTTCAGTTCCCTGGCCCGGGATATCTTGCTTAAGTCAGGAAACCGGAGATCAGTGAGTTGGTTCTGCTGGGCTGTGTGTGTGTGTGTGTTGGGGGGGCGGGGGATTGAGAGGGGTCCAGTGCTAAGACACCTCATGAGGATGGGTCCCCTTCTTTATAGCCTCAGATCACAGCCAGCCATTGTCACCCTGACCCCTGTGCCCTTGTGCCTATAGGGGAACAGCAGCAAGCCCTCCACCACTGACCTGAAAACGTGTGACAAGAAGAACACCAAGTGCTCCCTGGGCTGAGGACCTTTCTTGCCTCCCGACCCTAAGCCTGGAGGCTGAGCCTGAGAGGGGCGTGGCTGAGGGGCCGGGCTAGCAGGTGGGGCTTGGAGGCTAGAGATGGGTACCTAGTGAAAGAATGGGGAGAAAATGGAGAACAAAAGGAAGCGCAAGGAAAGAGGAAAAGAACAAAAGGAGGTAGAATAGAGAGAGAAGAAGCCAAAAGGGAGAGAATTGAGGAAGTGAAAGAAGGTGAGGAGGAAGTTGGAAGAGAGTGAGGAAGGAAGAAAGGCTAGATGGCCCTGGGCCTCAGACCTTCCCTGGGTTTCCAGGGCAACCATAATTGTAAAGAAATGATTGATTCTGTTCCGGGATCAGGTTTTAGGGTCCTGTGAGGGGCTGGCTCAGCACCACTCTCTGAACGTTTGGTCCTATCCTGTCACTGTATGGTCTTTCTCAGTATTAAAGGCCACCATTTGCACAAGTGTCCCTGGTTTGGGTGACTTTCATCAATGTTGGAGTCGCTCTCTACTCACAAACCTAATTCCTGCCTCTATGGTGGTTGGGCTGCCTGAAGCTGGCTGGGTTCCTGAGATGCCAGGACTAGTCAAACAGCTCTCTCTTCCCAGGCTTAATTGATGAGGTAAACAGCAAGGAACAGACTCTCTGAATCTAGAGTGGGGACATACTTTTTCCATTATGGGGTTCAGAGGCTCACTGGGCAGAGCCTTGCCCAGGACATTCCAGAAGGACTTTTTTTTTTTAAGGAGTACTCTTTTGGGGCCTCCCCAGGGGAGTGACAGCCCTTAGCCTCAGGGCCATCACAGAACCTAGTATTGCTCCCCAGTGATTTTCCCAAGCATCTTTGATTCTGCAGCTGATGGGCATTATCATAGGCATTATTATGAGACACAGAAGAGGCTCATTTATTCATATTTATTGAGCATCTACTATTTGCCAAGCACAGTGGTCAAGTTAACATCACCTTTGGGTGGTACTTACACAAGGGACAAGCACATTTTAACAGAAACAGCCCCTAACTACTGAATTAGAAAGAAGCAAAAGTAGTGGCATGCAAAAGAACCACCACCAAAAAACTCAGGCCACAGCCCTCTCCATCTTACACAATACTTTCTGAACAGTGAAATGATTTTATAGACGTGATGTTTCGTCAGGATAATGAAAATGTCAGATTGGTTCAGACAAGATTCTGTTAGAAGTTTTATTCATGGATATGATATGCCAGATATTTCAGAAATCCCAGAGCCTGCAGTGTGGAAGTAAATGGCACCACCCTGGAGTCATAGCAAAGCCTTTTTTCGTGCTGCCTTTTCTGTTGGGAAAGACATAGCTCAGAAAGAAGTCTGACCGTGCTGGGAGAAAAACTTGGATATTAATTTGATAAATGTGGAAAACTATTTGATAAGCGTATTAAGTATCCAAGCTTCCATGGGGTAATGTCCTCATCTGTGGCTTATGTTTACAGGCTCTGTAGTCACCTGCCCAGTAAGTTTAATTTGCTTGAGAGATAAGGACAGATTTGCCTTTTGTGAATCCCAGGAAGACTGACTGACATGTTCATCATACCCCAGGGAAGATATTTTAAAATTCAGCTTCAGCCTAGAGACCCTATTGCTTGGTACGGCTGCTGGACATGCGATCTTACAAGATTTCACAGCTTGTCATGAGGCAGGGAGTGACAGAATACTAGATTTCAGCCTAAACTTTTTTTTTTTAATTTGATTAGGAAAACTCCATTTTGCAGTCACGTGAACCACATTTCTAGAGCTCACTGGTCATGTGTGGCTCATGGCTTCTGTACTGGATAGAGCAGCTATAGAACACTAAAAACATCACAGAACATCCTATTGGACAGCACTGGTATTGGGGTGAATTAGGAGGCTGCTTCAGTAGTCTGGGGAGAAACAAGGCTCCTAAAATCAGCAGTGACAGTGGAAATGGAGCACGACCACGTCTTTCCTATTTAGAGCACTGTTTTGGTTGGCTTCTCACTGGTCAATTCGACCGAAGTCTTCTGTTGAACTCTCATTTTCATTGAGCGTTTGTGAGTGTTTAATATATATTTTTTATTCTTAGTTTCAGGTGTACCAAAACTTTCACTATAGTTAAAAACTACTGGGAAAAAACCCACACCCTACTTTCTGTAACATACAACTATTGACACACACACACACACACACACACACACACACACGAATGAAGGAAAAGCAGTTCCAAGCAAAATTAAAGCTCAGCCTTCACCAGGTTTTTTTCTTTTTTTCAACTCTCACCCAGTGATCTTTCCAACCTGATATTTCCTGCTCTTAAACAGCCAGCTTTAAGTCTGATGGGAAGACAGAATTTATGGGAAGTAGCATCAGATATACTGGTAATTCCAAAGCGCTCTGGCCCTTAGGGCTGTGGGGGAGGGTAGCAGCTGTAGTCTTTAGGCTAGAAAGACTTGAGGGGGGAGAGCGGGACGGGGGTGAGGGGGGGGGGGGGCGAAGACGTGGAGCAGAGTTAAAAAATATGGGGTATAGGATTACTGACGAGGATCAAAAATGGGCTAAATTTTGGATTCAAAAAGTTTAAGAGGTGAGGCAAAATAATTAGAGGAGAATAAATGGTTTCGTACACATTTCACTTGCATCTCGACCAACAAATCCCTAAAAAAAAAAAAAAAGCACATTAGCATTTCCATTTTACACGGAACACGGAGAGCCAGAGAACGTCCTTAAGTCACGTGGCTCATAAGCCCGTAAACCGAGGCTCAACACTTGTTGGGACTTCAAATCTCATGTTCTCCTCGTTGCATTAAGGATTATTTCATGACGTAGGAACAAGAGAGGTGAGAGCGATTGAGGCGGTCATTCAAGGACCAGCTCTGGGGAGTAATTTAGCAATTAACGTGAGAGAAGGTGACATCTGAGTAGAGCTGAGTGGGGGGGCCCAGAGACAGGGAAAGGCTTCACATTCACCGGGGGGGTCGGGTATTCCTGCCTCTGGAGGAAGGAGCAAGTCCCTGGATCGCCAACCCAGCTTCTCCCCTGGACCATCCGGGACGGGGAGGATGAAATGGGGAATAGGACGGAAAGGCTGAAGCTTAATGATAAATCCCAAGGTTTTAAGGAAGGAGCGAAGTCCTAAAAGGGCGACGTGTGGTTCCTTTTTACGTCTCGCTGCTCACCTAGCCCCGAGGGGCAAAAAAGGCGACAAGCTCAGGGACAACGAACCGAGAACACAGCTCCACCGCCGCCATTTCCTCCTTTCCCGCAAAAGACTACCAGGACCATAACACAACGGGGCACCGGGCCAACGGGCCGCATCTCGCTGTACAGACGCAGCGAGAGCCGATTCCCGGGGAGCAGCGCGCCGCGCCGCCAACCCCGAAAGACTACAAGACCCAGCAGGCAACGCGCGCGCCTGCGCCTCCGCGGACCCGCCGGGCTGGAAAACCGGGCCGGGCAGCCGGGCCCCACGCCCAGGAGCCTCCGCGGGGCAAGATGGCCGCGCCGGGGGCGGAAGCGGAGGTGAGGGGGTGCTAGGGCGGTAGAGCCTTCCCCGAAGACCCGCGGGCCGGCACAAGGGAACTCACGGCCGTAGCCAACAAAAGTATTGGCTTTTCTCGCCGTGGCCATGGGTACTTCCCAATAGAGCCTTTGACCTGAGGCAACCCCAGCATTTCGCAGCCTGACCTAGAACCTCCCGGACGGCTGCAGAGGAAGCGCCGCCTCTGCGCTCCGACGGAGGCACGAGGCCAGTCAAGCAAGCCCCTCTGTCCCGACTGGTGCGACACCGAGCACCCCATGCCTGCGGGCGCGGAGAGGCGTGGCCTCCCCCAGGGCCGCCACCTCTGGTTGCTCTGCGCTTTCGCCTTAAAGCTCTGGTAAGACGGGGATGAGGGCAGGGAAAAGGAGGGGACGGAGGACCGGACAGCCCCCGCCCCCGGGGATGAGGGAGATCGTGCCCCTCGACCCCCGCGGGTCGACGGGTGCCGTGTTTTCTGGCTTCTGATTTTTGGCCCCCCCCCCTTTCCCCCTCACCACTGCAGCCAAGCGGAGGCTCCGGTGCAAGAGGAGAAGCTGTCAGGTGGGTGACGGTATGGGAGCCCGACGCCCCCGTAGTTTTTGTTTTGTTTCGTGCTGACGTCCTGCCATATGTCAGCAGCACAGGTGGCAAAGGGCGGAATGACGTGGAACGCGGGCATTCAGTTGTGCTGGGAAGTTGGATGGGCAGAACCTTGGGGAGAACTATTTTCCTGAGTGAGGTCTGGGGCTGCCATTTCTCTCCCCTTTTAGTGAGCACCACGAATTTGCAGTGCTGGCTGGTGGAAGAGTTTGTGGTGGCAGAAGAGTGTGCCCCGTGTTCTAACTTTCAGGCTGTGAGTATCTGCTTCCTCTCCCTTTTTTTCTCACATCGCATCAGTCCCTACGTCTGACCAAGTGCGCCTTTGCACTGTCTTGCCATCTTTTTCCTGGCAGGCTCTGTATATGTCCAGATCGGAACTTGTCTTACCCCTGAAAATGTGCCCTTTCCTTTCCAAGTTCATGGCAGCCTTCATCTAATACCCACGTCCTGTTCATTTTTAATCCGATAGGCTCTGGAGCCTGTCCCCGCCTCTCCTAGACCACTCCCCCTGAAGTATTCTTTCGAGCACATATCCTAGTCATGCGGCGTCCCCATCAGAACTCTCCATTAGTTCTGTTGCCTGACAGCTCTGAGCCCACGCACTTGGGCACCTGCCCGTTCTGAATGGCAGCCTTTCTGCTTCTCCTTCCTGACAATGTGCTTTGGTCCTTTCCTCCTGGCAGAAAACCACCCCTGAGTGTGGCTCCACAGGCTATGTGGAGAAAATCACATGCAGCTTATCTAAGAGGAACGAGTTCAAAAGGCAAGTGCTGTGTGTCTTCTTGAAACCTCTTAGGTCACCTTTGCTCCTATGACCTTAGGTAAACAGTCCCACCTCTTCCTCTTGGAGGTAGCATGGCATATTGGAAAGAGGAAGGAATTTGGAGCCAAATTACTTCAACCCCCTAGTCCCACCTCTACTCCTCAGCGCTATATTATTGGCCATATGTTCTCATCAGTAAAACTGGTTAATACCAGCTCTGCTTCTCTCACCAGAAAATAAGTTAAGTGATATATTTGAATGGGATTTATGCACTGTAAACACATTAGAAGACTGAGTCTGGTTTCCTCTTTCCCCCTGGGATGTATCTTGGTTAGGAGATTGGAAGGAGAGGCTGTCTGGCCATCCCTGGAGATAACTGTTTCTTCCTGCCCCCCGCAGCTGTCGCTCAGCTCTGATGGAACAATACTCATTCTGGAAATTTGAAGGGGCTGTCGTGGGTGTGGCCGTGGTCTTCGCTTGCCTTGTCATCATTCGTCAGCGACAGCTGGACAGAAAGGCTCTGGAAAAGGTCCGGAAGCAAATCGAGTCCATATAGTTCTACCGTTTTATATGGGTCTTAAAGACCCTACCTCAGACAGAGAAAGTGGAATGGACTGACTTGTGCCCCTGGTTTTGGGGAACCTTGTGGTGGCACCTCTTGCTCCCATCTTCCTCGTCTAGATCATTAATGAGCAGAATAAAAAGAACGAAATCATTTCCTTCCCTACTGTAATTTGGTTTGGGGCAGGAAGTCATGGGGACAGAGAGGGAAAGAGAGTGGTGGCTTTTGGACTCAGTTTATTAAGTACCTGTTTTCCCCTTCTTCTTCTATTTATTTGAAACTTCTGGGATGTGATTTCAGCAACAAAAGTTTATTTTTCAGCAAAAACTTCTGTTTCCCCTCAATCCTATCTCCAGAGAAGAAATAAAGTCCCAGATACATAAAAGTATTTGAGGTGCCCTCTCAAACAGACAGACTGGGCCTCAAGGTACAGACATGTAGAGCATCCCGGTGTTGCTTCGACCCCTGAGTAGGAAGCCCAGGATCCCTCATGTGATGGGTGGTGGCCCAGGAGGTGTTCCAGCCCCTGTCAGAGCTTCACATCTCATCTGCACGCAGCACAGTTCTGACGTGCCTGCTGGGGCCTGTCTGCCCTCCCATCTTCTCAAGCAGTGTCCTTGTTGAGCCATTTGCACCGTTGGCCCCCGGTGGCCCCCCCAGTCTGGACTCTACCACTGGGGTCTCCCGATCTGTCATCTCGTTGTGAGTCAGGATATTTCTGGAAATCACTGTGGGGTGAAGGGAAAGACAGTGGTAGAGTGCTCCCTTAGGTGGGGGGTCCTAGACAGCAGCGGCTGGCCCTCCCACCCCTTGCGGGCCCTGGGGAACAGACCCTTACTTGCTCACCAGGTTAACAGGCTTCCCCTGCCCTGCCCCTCACCTCCGTGAGGCTGGTAATCCTCAGACCCTGCTTCTGTTAGACCTTGAAAGGGGCTCAAACTGGGCAGGATGATGAGAGCCAGGGAAAAAAGGAGGATCTGGGAGGAAGCAAGAAGACACTTGGGCTGTGGGGACAGAAAGGAAAGGGAGCAGAGAGCAGCTGGGGTCATCGGACGGGAAGGTCTGTATGGCTTGGGAACTATGGGTATCGGGATGGACGTGGCAGCGGATGGTGGAGGTGGAGGAGACGGGACTAGGCTGACGGTACCAGAACACACGTGCTGGTCTGGGCAGCTTTGTTGGAGGTCTGAGTGATGACCATCTGCAGCTGGCGGAGCTGAGTCACCAAGGAGCTGGGACAGGAGGGAGGCTGGGTTAGACCTGGGAACCAGGGCCCAGGCGGGTGCCTGGGTGCCCAGCCCTCCCGCAGCGCGCACGATGCTTTCACTCACACGTTGTGCCTCTCCAGCTCCTGGACTTTTTCCTGTAGTTCCTGGTTCTGTGCAGAACAGGCAGCCACCCTAGGGAGTGTGGAAAGGTGGGACAGGGTTCTGCCATCTTGTGAGCCTGCTAAGGAAGGGGGCCCAACCTGGCCCACCTGGACCCAGGAACGTGAGTCCAAACGCACCTGCTCTCCAGTCCATCGATGTACTCTTTCTTCCGCCGCCGACTGTCCTGAGCTGACTGCTTGTTCCGGATTTTCCTCCTGACCTTCTTGAGGACCCTCTCCTCTGCCTGGGGGCCCAGGGTGCGTCAGTCCCAGGCCCTTAACCTCCCCTGCAATCCTGGCTCCTCAGAGGCCATGGTGGGGCCACTGGGTTGGAATACCCTCTGGGGAAGCATGTTACCTTGGTGAGGGGCAGGTGAGAGGGCAGGGAAACCCCCTCCTGCCCTAGCAGACGCTTCTCCTCATCTGTCAGGAACAAGGCTTGAAAGGGCAGCTGCTGGGGGACAGGAGATTAGAGTGGCGAGAGGGTCATCCCATTTCCGGCACCCCAGGCCTCTCACCCTGCATGCCTTCTAGAGAGTGTTTCCCATTTGCACTGAGAGATAACTAACCATGAAACGAGGTGAGGGCGAGGACCTTAATCCAGGCAGGCTCTGGATCATGCCCAGGGCAACCTTCTGAGGCTGAGAAGGGAGAGAGGAGGGGGTTTGGTCAGCCTTTGTCCATGGACTCTGGACCTTAGCACTCAGAGCAAGCGAGGGAGGGCCTGTCCTGATCCACACCTCCCCAGACCTTAGGGGTATTTGAAGAGGACATGGAGGAACTCACTAAGGTAGGGTTTGCGTCTTCTTAGAACAGGGAAGTCATTCCCTGTTAGCCATTAACTTGCGTTGGGCAGTGTGTTATCCAGACCACAGGGAGTTCCTGGGGCACCAGCCGCTCTCCCCTAGGGTCTGAGCCCCACCTTGCAGACTAAAGCTCTGTCCCTTCTCAACCCCCTAAGGACAACCAGACTGACCAACTTCTCATAACAAAGGATGTGGGGAGGAGGGTGGATGGTGTCTGGTTCATGTGGGCCCATCAACTGAGCGACTTCCCTTTCTAACTCCTAGTCGCTTTTGAAAGATGTATGCTTCACCTTGTGACTTAAGAGGAATTTGCTTTTGCTTTTGCTTTTGTTCCCTGAACCATTTCTTCTGCCTCTGTCTCTTCCTGGTCTCCCTTTTTGCCCTGTGACCATTTGGTGGCACTGTTAGAGGGGTGTCCCTCCCAAACCACCTAATCAAAATCTCTGAGAATGAGGCCTTGCGGGTTTTATTTTAAAAATAAACCCATAAATTCTCCAGTGTGTTCAATGTACACTCAAGTTTAGAAGCATCAGACTTTTTAAGGTCCCTCAGCCCAAGATTCTGAGATGCTTGGCTCGGCTTCTGGTCCCAGCTTCAACCACAGATTGGCAGCGAGCCTAGAACCTGTTCCCTGCACACAAGGAGATCCTTCCAGGATAGAGGCAAGGCCCCCTCCTCACTCTCACTGGAGGAACCAGCCCAGCCAGCCTTGGGAACATGTGATATGTTCCCAGCTGCCCCAGGCAGAGGGTGCCTGCTGGACAATGGTTCCAGTGGGAAGATAGTTGCAGTTGCTTCTCTGACACCCTGTGCCCAGTAACCAGTTGGATTCCCTGGTGGTCTGTCCCATTTCTGCATCCTGACCCAAGGCTGAGACAATCCATAGCCCTGGCTGAGCAAACCACACCAAGTCCAGGCTTCGCCCTCACCCGACCTCCTAAATTGAGTCATCACCACCTTACCCCCAAGGGCTTGTCTCCCTTGTCCTTTCCTGCTCTTTTACTGCCCACGTCTCCCTGGCCTTCAGGCCCAATGCCACGCACTTAGGCAAAGACAGAGTGTAGCACCGGTTTTCCCTCCCTTACCCCATCTGTGTGGGTGCGCATGTGTGTGTCAGGGAGGACTGGATCCAGCCAACCCCGAGACTCACCAGGGTTGAAGGAGGCACTGGGTTTACAGCGCCTGCTCTGGGCACGATGTGGGCATGGACGTCAAGGGGCAGCTCGCTGACCATGCAGGCATTGGGCACCGTAAGTGGTGGGCTCCACTGATCTGAGGGAGACACGTGGCTGGGAGAAGAGCTGGCGGGTACACCCTGCTGGCAGCAGGGCCTGGGGAGTGGCCCAGGTTGGAGAAACCCTCCTAACCCCAGGGCTAGGGCAGGATCTGAAGGGTCACTGTCCCCTTCCCACAGGACACTACTGACCTAGCTGGATGGAGATGAGCCCTACAGCTGGCCCAGCTTCGCCCTGCATCCTGTCCAGGGCCCCCGCCTCATAGACAACCTCATAGAGGGCAGGGGAACTGGGTGCCTTGGAGGCAGACGGACTGTCTGGGTGACCAGGGTCCTCGGAGATTCCACTGTCACTGCCAGGAGATGCTTCTGAGCAATACACTTCATTGGGATCAATGAAAAGCTTCGGGAAATCTTCAGGCTCACTCTCTTGAAGGCCCTGCATTAGAAGAGGGTATATATATGTACAGGGAAGAATTCTGGAAGTCCTTCCTGACATCAAACCTAGATCCTTCATGCTTCAATTTCAGTACCTCCAGTGCTTGGACATGGGGATAGTTACAGTTTATGTCTATTGTAGCACTGTCTTCAGACTCTCTCCAAGTGTGGGCCGAAGCCTCTTGGGCTTCTTGTCACAGAGTTGTGTCTCAACCCACCCTCACTTCCATTTGTCACTCACATAGCCATGGCCCCCACTGGCCTCCCAGGCTTGCAGCCCCTGTTCTTGTAGCCTAGTTACTGGGACCTCTGAAGGTGGACAGTGGAGTCCCAGCTCCAGGAAGGATCCTGTTGAGAAGGCATCATCTGGGGGCTCCAGCCACACATCCAGCAGGTCAGGGGTTCTGAAATCCATCCTGTGGGGAGGCATGTGTGTGTGGGGGGAGAGTTGCAGGAGAATGATGGCTCCCCCTGCAACACATACACACAGCTTCTGGGTTCCTCTCCCTCCCTCTTCCATTATCCCCCTTCCTCACCTGCGCAGCCCCCTCACCTGTCACCCGAAGATTTCGGAGATTTCGCCTCGGGCCTTATCTCTGTCGTTCAGATGAACAGGCCCCCGGGGTATTACCTGTTCCGAAGAGCCCAGCCCTGCCAAGCCAGTCTAGCCTGCTGACTGCCCCAAACAGTACACCTTTTCTTCTCTCCAGGATCTCGCATCCTGGACCTGCCCAGCCAAACCCCGCCCCCAGCCTGACACTAGGAAAGTGGGTTGCACCTAGCCGGGAGCCACGGTAGGGGTGCTGACTCTGGGAGCAGGGGATAAAGAGGCTGAGCGTCCACAAACCAGACCTGAGGAAAACATAGACAGCCTCGCCCTTTCTGCCTCAGTTTCTCCTAGCGATAGCACATCTTCCCGAGGGTTTGGTGTCTCCTCAAGGAAAGATAGAGATGGCTGTGACTGGAGCACAGGACGCTTGAGTGCCTGTTCTCCGGCCATCGGTTTTATAAGAGGGAGACCACCACAGGATTGAAAACAAAGGAAAAAGTCAACAGGATTGCCCAAGATTTACCGAGGCACCCCCCCACCCCCAACCTCACCGCCGCACCCGTCGCGCTCTGCCAACACTGGCGTCTGATTGGAAGCTGAAGACGTAGAGGTTTTGATGGGCAGGGCATTGAGCCAATGGAATTACCCTCTCGAGGCCTCCCTCCGCCGTAACGGGTCAGAATAGGCTGTCGGAGAGGGAGTGGGGCCAATGGGGCCGGAGCATTTATTTGTCCTGCGGGGATTGGGTCCCGCGGGACCAAACCGTGGGTAAGAGCCAGAAGATGACTTGTAGGAAGGGGGAAAGTTTCCGAGAGTGTGGATAGCGGCTTGGTTTCGCTTGCCACGTGACTCGGAAGCCCAGGTTATGGCAGGGAGTAAATAATCTGTTGATCCAAGTTAAGTGACAGAGCTTTGACTCAGTTTGCGGAAAATCGCGCAATCGCGGGGTGTACAAATTCGTAATCTGTGCATTATGCTACTAATGAAGAACAGCAGTCACACACACTCGCAGGACTGTTAACTAACGCAGGGACGAGGGTCTGGAAAACTACACAACGTTAAAATTCATTGGGATGTGGTGTGGGAATTTGTCTTGTCGTTTGCGTAAAATTACCAACAACAGTATATGTCCTGCATTTGAATACTTTACAAAATGTTTTCATGAACATTGTTCTCTCATTTAACCCACAACAGTTCTGAGGTAGACAGGCCAGGTAATATTTTACTAATTTTACCTATGAGGAGACACAGCTTCGTGACTAGAATGTAGCAATATCAAAACTCAGGATTTTTTTTTTTTTTTGCCTTGGTCTTAGTGACTGATGACCCAGGAATTCACTTTAAAAAAAATAATGGAGCGAAACTGATACAGGTATGATTTTCACCTGCCTGCCTCCCCAATTGTACTTCAGATAAAGGGGAGCTGGGTGAATAAAGCAAGAAAGGTTGGGGTGTAGATCTGGAATTCAAACTGGTAGCCTCCTGAAAATTTGAATGGGCTGAGGGTAATGACAGGAACAGGATCTAATGTTTACTGAGTAACTATTACATGTTCAGGCATTTTCATGTTACTCATAATTGTCACAGAAATTCACCGCTGGGAGAGAGAAGTTAAGTAACTTTCTCAAGGTTACTTTGTAAGCTGAACAAAGATTTAGATGCCTCAGCCCATATCCTTTGCATTATACCAGCGGTTCTCAACCTGTGGGTCGCGACCCCTTTGGGGGTCGAACGACCCTTTCACAGGGGTCACCGGGTATTCGTATGTGGGCATATCTGCATGTGGGCCTGGAGATGGATAGAGGAGCGGTGTCTCGGTTCCTAAGACCATCGAAAATATGTGTTTTCCGATGGTCTCAGGCGACCCCTGTGAAAGGTTGAGAACCGCTGCACTATACTAAGCTACCTTGCTGGAGTTTTCTCAAATTTCCCAACTCTGTCTTTCCTGCTCATTTCCCTGCATCTTGCTCAAGTAATGAAAAGACAAAGCAGGCTTGGTAGATGGATGCAGAGCTCTAAGGAAAGGAGAGCTGTCCTTGATTAGATTTGTCCTAGAGCAAGAAAGGTTTCAAAGGGTTTCCTTCAGGCTGCACGTGCAGAGATGATTAAGTGGAAAATATAGTCAGCTTTCATTAATGTTAGAACTGGAAGGAACTTTTGGCATCATCTGCTAGTCTAACTTCCCTCTTTTACCCAACTTATCAAGCTCTGAAGAGGAACATGGCTTGCCTAAGATCACACACCAAATTAAGGTAGAGTTGGGACTAGTAGTACCCAGGTGTCCTGGCTCCCAGTCCATGATTTTGTTAATGTTACTGATTATCGATAATCTGTCACAGACAGAAAGCATAATTTGTCACAGACAAACCATAGCACACAGTATATTGCCTTAAGTAATCTGGAGTTGCCTCTAACAGTAATTTTTATCTTTTAATTAAGAGATTAGAATAGCAATGATAATTATTATTAAATGATGGGACACCTGTACCCCATTTCACTTACATCCTGATCTTAAGAGTCCTATATGATTCCTTTTTCCTAGACTACCTCCCTCAGGAAGTCCTCACATCCCCTTTTCTTAAGGAAGTTGCCGGCCCTCATTTCCAGAGCCTTATCAGAGGTATCACTCTGTTCCTTATTTAGGCAACGAGGCCTTTTTACCTTTGCAAAAAATAGGCTGAGTCCCCTTCCTTATCGTCCTCCTTTGTACCCTACCCTCCCATGAGGCTAGAAGAGGATTCTGGTAACACAGGATGTGGGCCAAGAGGATCCAGATGAAAGACACAGTGAAGGTCCTGGGTTGAAAATACCTTGGCACATTCAAAGAACACAAAACAGAAAGGAGGCCAGCAGGGCTGGAGGGAGAGGAGTTGGAGAATTCTTGGAGATGAGTTTGGAGGGAACCCAAGCCAGATGCCTTGACGCATGGTAAGGATGATAAGTTGGAGTGCGCTGGGGGAGCTTAGCTTTTCACTGACTGGGGTGTCAGCAACCCATGAGCTGGGTCCCACCACTTCTCTTCCCACTCCAAGAAGGCTGAAGCCTGCAGAGAAGTCAGCTCAGGCCACTGGCAGTCAGGAAGGGATGATTTTCAAGACATGCCGTCTCTTTGCTGTTCTCCTTTTCCAATTCTGCCTTGTCTTTTTGTTCTCTCTTGTGCGTGCTGGCGAAGGAAGTCAAGCATGGAAGTCCGTCCTAAGGAAGGAATGCTTTCCCTTTGGCGCCAAGGTGCACCGAAGGGATCTTAGAGTCTTCTAAGAGATGGATAAAAAGACTTGGGTCAAGACCAGGCAGATACACTCAGAGGAGCAGGGGAAAAGACAGGAATGCGGGGTGGGTATGGGGCACCAGCCTTGTCCGCGGGGTTTCTAGCGTCCTCCTTTAAAAGAGAATGACCTGGCCTCTACTTTCCTACCGGCCAGCTCCGGCCTGTCAGACCCCCACCGTAGCGCCCCAGGCCCAAAGTTCCTACATCCTCTCCCTTGCCTCTTCCCTTGCTTTCGCACACTTCGTCCTAGTCCCCGCCTCCGCCCTGCTCCTGCTGCCCGTCTCTGATTGGTCTTAGCTCACGTCACTCGTCGTATGGCCCCGCCCGCCGGGCGCAGTCATTGGCAGCAGGGGGGCGGGTACGCGGCGGCCGTAGGGGGAGGAGGAGCGCTGGGGAGGGGGCGGGAATTCCCGACCGTAGGCCGGAACCCAGCGGGTGCCATGTAGTGAGACCCTCGCGAGGTGAGTGTGGGCTCCCTGGGAGCGGGGTCTGGGTCGGACGTCCAGGCCTCCCGGGGGAGGGGGGCCTAGGAGCTGGAGCTTTGGCTCCCACATTCTTCTGCTTCCCGGGACGCTGACGGCCTCGGACCCCGCCTCCCGAAGCCTGGACTTCCAGACACCGCCCTCAGTTGTGTGTCAGCCCGTCCCGGGACCCCAGACTCCTAGGGCCCTTCTTTAGTCTTCTCCTCCGACGTCTCAGCCTGTGGCCTGAAGCGGTCGCTCTGTGCTTTCGGGGGGGATGGCGCTGGGGGAGCGGGAGCGAGAGAGTGATCCAGCACCCAGACTCGCCTTGTTCAGGCGGTCCCCGAAGCGACCCGCGACCTCTCTCCACAGCGCGGAACCCCGTAGCTTCATCCATTCCGTCCTGGAGGGGCCTGGCCCCTACTTTCCTGCAGGACCCCCGCTCCCGAGTTCTCCGGGCTGCAGGTGAAAGGGCAGTAGGTATCTACACGGCCCTCATTGCCTCAGCTTGCCCCTCGCGAGGCCCCTGAATAAGTCACTTGGAAGCGATCAAGTGTGAGGGGGAAGAAGAATGTGCCCAGTACAGGAGTGGATGAGTCACACTGGCTCAGGGAAGGCCAGAAAGTGGTGGGAGTGAGGGAGCAGCTTTCTGGTGGCCAGCCTTCCGCTTTCCTTCGCCCCATCTTTCCTTCCATGACCATTCCCCCGCTCACTGTCTTCCTAGGTCCGAGAGTCACTGGAGCAACCACAGCCACCATGGGGCCCTGGGGAGAGCCAGAGCTCCTGGTGTGGCGCCCCGAGGCAGTAACCTCGGAGCCCCTCCTGCCCGTGGGACTGGAGGTGAAGTTGGGGGCCCTGCTGCTCCTGCTGGTGCTGACTCTCGTGTGCAGTCTGGTGCCCATCTGTGTGCTGCGCCGGCCTGGAGCTCACCTGGAAGCCTCAGGTAAGCCTCTCCTTTTCCCGGCTGCCGTCGGTGCTCGGGGCAGAGAAGGTTCTGGGGCTGAGGAAGATGACCTGAGGAGGGGGAGGCAAGAGTGGCCATTGCTTGGGTTGGGGTAGTGGGGCCGGGAGGGGGTTCACTTGCTCATTCTCCTCCATGCTTCACTCCTGCCCAGCCTCCCGCCAAAAAGCCCTGAGCCTAATAAGCTGCTTCGCTGGGGGTGTGTTTCTGGCCACCTGTCTCCTGGACCTGTTGCCTGACTACCTGGCTGCCATAGATGAGGCCCTGGCAGCCCTGCACGTGACGGTGAGCACTGGCCAGCTGCACGTGACTCGGCATATATGGGCATGTTCAACCGCACACCTCCAGGAGAGGTGTTGTGTGTGGATCTCTTCCTGTGTCACTCCATGTCATTGGCATGTGACCCTATGAATTGTGACTTTTCGTTACAGGGCATAGCTCTTTTTGTGGGTTCCTCCCCCTAGTCCCTATGTGACCCCTATGTACCCTTTGAGACAGGGTGAGGAACCTGATGACCAGGTGTGTGACCTTGTCTGTGGGTTTCTCACTTCTGGCCTCCAGGAAGTTATAGGCACTCCGCGATTTATCTTCTCCCTCTCATCACTTCCTGGAAATAGAGGTCCCAACGGCCTGGGAAGGGGAGGAGGCAATCCCAGGGGCCTGGTGTTGCTGACCAAAAAGGCCCACGGAAATAGGATGTGGGGAAGAGAGAGTCCAAAGCATGGGAGTCTCATGGGAAAAACTGAGACAGTCGGGTGGTGGTGCGAGGACGAGCCCCTGGGCTCCTCCTCTATTTCCCTGAGACTGAGGAAGTAACACTGGATATTACCCTCTTTGTGTCTGTGACTGCATGGCCTGTGTCTCCGTGTGACCGTGTGTAAGCCTGAATGTCCCGGCAACAATATGTGGCTCCATGTGTGCGCATTTGGGAAGGTGGGCCAATGTGTGACGCTGTGTACGTCTACATCACTGACTCTCAACTGGGGATGGTTTTGCCCCCCGCCCCCTGAAACATTCAGTAATGTCCAGAGACATTTTTGGTTGTCACACCTTAGGGAAGGAGGGCGTTGCGCTGCTAGTGGCATCTGAAGGGTAGAGGCCAGGGACATGTGCACGGGACAGCCCTCCACAGCAACGAAGTACCTTGCCCCAAATCAGCGGTTCTCAACCTTCCTAATGCCGCGACCCCTTAATACAGTTCCTCATGTTGTGGTGACCCCCAACCATAAAATTATTTTCGTTGCTACTCTATAACTGTAATTTTGCTACTGTTATGAATCATAATGTAAATATCTTTTTGTTTTCCGATGGTCTTTGGCGACCCCTGTGAAAGGGTCGTTCGACCCCCAAAGGGGTTGCGACCCACAGGTTGAGAACCGCTGCCCCAAATATTACTAGTGCCAAAGTTGAGAAATCTTGGTCTACATTGTAACAGTGTGAGTGATACCAGAATCTGTGTGATTGTGTATCATTCTGTGTCTGTGTCACCAAGTGCCTCTGAATCTTTGTGTGACCAAGACTGGCCTTGTGTCTGTGTGGGAGCCCAAGGCTAACGGGCTCCTCTTCCCCATTCTTGGCCTGTCTCCTGAACTCCCTGCTGCCCTCTCTGCTCACAGCTCCAGTTCCCCCTGCAAGAGTTCATTCTGGCCATGGGCTTCTTCCTGGTCCTGGTGATGGAGCAGATCACTCTGGCTTACAAGGAGCAGTCGGCGCCACCACCTCGAGAGGAGACGAGGGCTTTGCTGGGGGCAGTGAATGGTGGGCCGCAGCATTGGCACGATGGGCCAGGCGTCCCCCCAGCAAGCGGAGCCCTGGCAGCCCCCTCTGCCCTGCGTGCCTGTGTCCTGGTTTTCTCCCTGGCCCTGCACTCGGTGTTCGAGGGGCTGGCGGTGGGGCTGCAGCGAGACCGGGCTCGGGCCATGGAGCTGTGCCTGGCTCTGCTGCTTCACAAAGGTATCCTGGCAGTCAGCTTGTCCCTGCGGCTGCTGCAGAGCCACCTGCGAGCAAAGGTGGTGGCTGGCTGTGGGATTCTCTTCTCATGCATGACACCTCTGGGCATCGGGCTGGGTGCAGCTCTGGCAGAGTCGGCGGGGCCACTGCACCAGCTGGCCCAGTCTGTGCTGGAGGGCATGGCGGCTGGCACGTTTCTCTATATCACCTTCCTGGAAATCCTGCCCCAGGAGCTGGCCACTTCTGAGCAGAGGATCCTCAAGGTCATTCTGCTCCTATCAGGCTTTGCCCTACTCACTGGCCTGCTCTTCATCCAAGTCTAGGAGGATCCAAGGGGGGCACGGGAGGTTGGGTATCAGGTGCCCTCGAGCCTCCTCCCCTCCTCAGAGCTGGGGAAGGGAGGTATTGAGAACCAAAGAGTTCTCTGGGAGATAGGGATGGAGCCTTTGGGACTATCTGACCACGAAAGGGAGGTGGGCAGACAAGAGCCTGGCCGGCCCCCAGGCCCAGGGGACAAGGCATGGTCAAGTCACTAGAGACATGATCAAGGGATATTAGTATTGGGGAAGACACTGAGTGATAGAATCAGGGGCAGACACTACACATTGGGACAAGCTGACACTGGGGAGGCTGGAGGTGGGTACCCAGCTGCTGTGGGATAGAAGCTTAGACAGGCCATAGGCCCAGAGTCAGCAGTGCTGTTGTTCCTAGCCCATTTCAGCCCTGGCATTTGGAGTGGACCCCTCCTACTTTTCTTAGCTCCTATTCTCATCTCTGTCTCCCTCTCCCTTCTCCCAGGACACTAGTGCCAGGATGCCTCTTCCTGCCAGTTTTGGTACCTTCTCTGGCTTCTCGAGTCCCTGCTCACTCCTCTATTTTTAAAGTGCCAAATAAAATGCCCTCCCTCTTTCTCAAAGCACAGTGATGGCACCTGCCCAGCACCTCAGCGAAGGGAGGCCCTCTTGCTCTTTATTTTAGTCCCAGGGCCTGGGGTGGGGCAGAAGTTTGCTGGGTTGGGGGAGGGGGGGAGGGTTGGCATAGCTGCGCACCCAATACCACTGCAGCACCCTAGGGATACAGGACATGGACAGGGTGCCCCATACCCAGATGATGAATACAGAGCTGCCAAAACTTTTTTTTATACCAGAGGAGCCCAAGGGGGAAGGGGAAAGCTCACCCCCGGGGGTTATTTTTTGGGGAGGTAGGGCTGTGTATATGGCCATATTCTCTAGAATCTATTTTACTTACTGACCTGTTTTGGGACATGTTACCCAAATAAAAGATGTTTCTATACATTTGTACAGTATCTGATTTCGTTTGTCTTGGGAAAGGGGTGGGCACACGGCGAGCCTGAGAGGCCCAACTCCCAGATGTTTACAGCTGTGTTTGTATCCCTGGTCTCACTTTTCACTCAGGTCCTTCTCGCCCCCTTCCCCGAAGATGAACAGATTTTTCCCTCTTTTGTCTCTTCCTTCTTCCCTCCCTGTCTCCACCCCTTCCCTTTCCTCCCCCTTTCCTTTCCTTTCTCCTTAATTCCTCTCCCCTTCGCGTTCCTAGGCTCGGGACCAATTTAGAACTACTTTTCCCAGCTTGCCGCGCGCAGGGAGGAGTCGAGAGGGAGGAGCAAAGTCCCCAGTTCCCGGAGTCCACAGGGCTGCTGGGAAATGGTGTCCGTTTCCTCTCCGTACTGCGTGACCGGGGTGGTGAGAGAGTCACGTAAACAAACTACACTTCCCGGCAGTCCGCGCGCGCCACAGGTCAGGACTAGGCTGGGGCCGGGTTCGCGGTGCTCGCTGAGGCGGCGGCGGCGGCGGCGGCTACGGCTACGGCTGGAAGAGCCAGGCGGGAGCCCGCGGCGGAGGCCGTGGCTTGTGTTGGGAGGGTGGCGCGGAGGGACGGAGGAGGAAGATGGCGACGTCGGGGGCGAACGGGCCCGGCTCGGCCACGGCCTCAGCTTCCAATCCGCGCAAGTTTAGTGAGAAGATCGCGCTGCAGAAGCAGCGTCAGGCCGAGGAGACGGCGGCCTTCGAGGAGGTGATGATGGACATCGGCTCCACCCGGGTGAGGGGCCGCGCCGGGGAGCGGAGCGGAGCAATTACGGAGCCGGGAGCTGAGAGGCGGGGCGGGGGCGGGAGCCGCAGCGAAGGAGGCGGAACGGGGCAGCGGACGCCGCCGTCTGGGAGGCGCGGGTTGAGGGCCGAGGGGCAGGAAGACGGATTTTGCGGGGAGAGGCCGAAACGCCGGGGAGGCTGGGGGTCTGGGGGCGAGTGGGGGCTGAGTAAGTGAGGTGGGAGTGGGCGGAGAGAGGACACGGGCCCCTGGGGCCCGGCGGAGGTCGGAGGTGGGTGGTCCTTGTGCATCCCTGACTGAGCCCTCTCGGGGACTCCTGAAGCATCCCCGATGTGGGGTTATGGGTTGGGGGGATGGCCTGCCTGTCCTAGTCTGGCACCTCTGCGTTGGTAATCTCCTCCAATCTGGCCCCTCTGCTCCGTTGTGCCACCCTCGGCACTTCAGTACCTCCGGGAAAGGGCCCCTTGAGTGGTTTGAACGGCGGCATCGGGTATAGTGGGGCAGGAAGTCCCCTCCTGCGTCCCGTCCCTTTGCTTCCTTTTTCAAATACTTCTTGTGGTTTCCTGACGTGAATGAAGGTGAGGTCCATTGCTCACAGACTGGTGGTGCGTGGTGTGTTGCCGTGGGCGCCGTGGAGAGAGGCAGGGCTTTGAGTCTCCAAAGCGAGACCCCGTCGGCTATAGGTTGTGTGGAACCCGGTGGTTTGCTGAGCTTTCTAGGGAGACGGCGGCTTTGTGGGTCAGCCATGGGGTGGCCTGGAGGGTCTTCTCTGTGTAGGGAATATTCATTCCTAGGAAGTTCCAGAAAGAAGGCATCCTGGCAGAATTGCATCCGAACCCCCTCTGGCCTCGCTTTCTGGCTCCCAGGACTGGATGTCAGAGGGAGCGAGGGGTGGGAGTTTGCCCAGCTGGTGTGCGGTCCTAATTTAGGGCCGCATTGTTCTCAAAACAGCAGGTGAGGATATTGCTAGGCTCCCTCATGACAGGGAGGTAGGAGGAATTTAAGGGGAGATGGTGGAACATAAATACCGCATTTCAAAGCTCTCGCCCCTGGTTTGACTCCGATTGCATCTGTCTGTGACTGTGACTCTGGTTGTATTTTTGTGTGTCTCCCTTGCCTCTGTTAAGTCCTTTTTTTGTGTTTGTTTCCCCTTTGCGTCTCTAGAGACCATGTGTCCTAGTTTGTGGGAGTCACAGCAGAGAGAGTTAGGTGGGAGCAAATCGTGCGTGTGCGCGCGCGTGTGTGTGTGTGTGTGTGTGTGTGTGTGTGTGTGTGTGTGTGTACTCACGCGCCTAACCCCCGCTAACTGCCAGAGTGGACCTAACTGTTGACTGCTCCCCTGTAGGAACTTGTGATCATGCTGGGGGCAGAGGCAAGAAGGTGGGCCGGACACTGACCTCCAGCCGACAGCAGAGGCCTGCCCTCTGGACTGTGACTCCAGCAGAGGCATGGTGGGATCTTAGGGCTTGTTTGTGCAAACAAAGAAAGGCTGTGGGAGGCTCAGAGCTGAGCCTTCTATCTTTGGAGTGTCCTGGTCTGTCAAAAGGCCCCCTCCACCTGCCTTACCCCTGCTAGGTAACTTCTCTGCTGCGCATAAAAACCCAGTGGGCATAACTTGGCCACGACCTGGGGACCCAAGAGTCTCAAGCCCTGGGGCTTAGCCTGTTATTTGGCCAGCCAGGAGGGCTCCTTTGAGGCCGATATGGCCTGGGGGGCCTGTAGTGCTGTGAGGCTGGGGCTGTCATATATATTATTAGCATAATGGCCCAAAGGTCAGCATAGTGCCCACTGAACTCACGGGGCTGACCTCCTGGAACAGAAAGTTCTGATGTTGGCCCATGCACCACAGTGTGTCCCCGGAAGTTCTTAAAGTTTACCCCTCATCAGCTGCCCTGGGTCTGTTTGGCTGATGACAGCGGCCAAGCCTCAGGAGTAGGTACCACCGCTCACAGGGGGACCTGAGATCTGTAGACAGGTTAAAGCATGGCAGGCTGCGGGGTGTGGCATCTCACTCCAGTGCCAGACTTACCTCCCCAAAGCGGGGATGAAGCTAGGGAGGTGGCTTGGCCCAGACTGGAGGAGGGAGCTAAACCCCCTTTAGCTCCCCTCTGTGCCCTCGCCCCCCTCCGTCCCCCAGGCTTCCCTGCCCGTTCAGGGGCCTCAGGACTAAGGAGAAGTACGGGCCTGGTTTTGGCCCTGTCATTCCAGCTATGAGACCCATCAGTCCTTAGATGTTCTAGTTCGGGAGGTGTGGGCTCTTCCTGAGGCTGGGCAAGTGGCAGAGCCCAGAAACCTGTGCCCTCCAGCGTGGGAAGGAAAGAGACTAGTAGAAAGTAATGGCTCTGTGGCATCCACCTGTGGCCTTCCCCTCATCTTCCAATTAGTCCTGGAAGCATCTGGAAGGGAAAGCAGAGGTGCCTAATAGGCATCCCTCCCCAGGAGTTAACTCATGTGACTAGCCTGGGGGCTCCTGGTAGCCCCTGAGGGACTCTGTTTAGACTGATGCCAACTGGGCCAGAGTGTCAGGCCCTGCCTGGCAAGGCGATGCAGGCATTGGTGATACGGATGAGGGGAGGCTGCGGAAGAGCGAGGCAGATGGCTCGTGCCAGGTCTCAGTGGCCCTTTTCCCCAACACTGTTTTTTTGTTTTTCTTTTTCCGGCAGATCTCTCAAAAGCAGCAGCAACAGTAGCATATCCTGGAGACAGGGATGGTGAGGGTGGCCAGAGGAACGGGAAGAGTGCTCAGGCCCCTCCCTGACATTCCCATTTGCCCTTCATGTCTCAGTTACAGGCCCAAAAAATGCGGCTGGCATACACAAGGAGCTCCCCTTACGGTGGTTCTCTGCCAGACGTGAACCAGATTGGCTGTGGCCTGGCTGAGTTCCAGGTGAGTGGACACCAGCCCCGGGGGATGCAGGCTCTTCGGCAGCTCCCCCATTGACTCACCTGTGTGTTTTGGCAGAGCCCCCTGCACTCACCTTTGGATTCGTCCCGGAGTACTCGGCACCATGGGCTGGTGGAGCGGGTACAGCGAGATCCCCGAAGAATGGTGTCCCCCCTCCGTCGCTACCCCCGCCACATATCCTTCCCTGAGGGTTTGGGGAGTCTGGAGGGTGGTGGGTCAGGGCCCCTCAGGAACTCACGGTGGGAGGGGCCTTTCAGTGTCACCCAGCCCCATCCTTCTCCAGGGGCTTTCCTTTACCTCGCCTCCCAGAGAGGCGACCACTTGGCCCGTGTGTGGGCGCTGGGTCCCGTGCCAGGGAGCGGCTGCTCTGAGGCCGTGCCCTCCATCTCTGGCTGGTTTTCACTGTCCTTACTCAGCTTGCTCTTTGCTGCTGGAGGCCGGGCTCCCGGATACGCCACCCGCTAAAGGGGTTTAGCTCCCTCCTCCTCACATTTCTGCCGTAGCCTCCAACCTCAGACCTCCACAGATCGTCTCCCCACGTCCTGCCCAGATATGCGCCTATATTTTCCCAAGTCCGCTGGGCCTGACTCTCCCCTTCTCTTCCATTCTCTGACATGATTGTTGCCTCTTGTCAGGAGGAGAAAGGTATTTGTTTCTTGAAACAACCCATCTGCTGCCTTCGCTCTTCTTCTCACCTGGTCTCTAGCCCGTCCAAGCTCTCATCACTTCTTTCCTTAACTGGTGCTGTTCACATTGACAGCTCTCCATACAGTCCTGCCTACTTATCTCCTCCCCCGGAGTCCAGCTGGCGGAGGTCAGTGTCCGGGGCAGGCAGCATCTCCGGCCCGCTCTCCGACATGTCTTGGGTTGGGCTTGGGTTTGCTGGGCTAGGCTTTCAACATTACCTCCTCCCCTAAGGGCAGGGCTGGGAGGGGTGGGGGCAGGTGGAGTAGGTGGGTCAGAGTCCAGTCTTGGCTGTGTTGACACGGGTGGCCAAGCCTCCCAGTCCAACCAGGACAGGACCAATGGAACTGGCTAGCGGGGCTGTGTATGTAAGGGGGAGGGGAGAATGGCTGCTTCCTGTCTAGAGTGGGTGCCAGATGGAGTGTTCTGGCACTCAGGTTTCTGACCCCTCCCCCTGCCCGTCTCATCCCTAATACTTACACCTGGCAGAGCTGCTGGGCTTCCAAGATTCCCTTTTAGCTTGTCCTGGCAGATGGAGGTTGAGATTTTCCAGATCTCCTCGGTTCATTGGGGGAGAGTGTTCATGGGTCTCAGACATTAGGAGAACCAGAAAGAAAGAGGCGTGGTCCTGGGTACCCAGCCCTGCCCACCTGCACCTGGGCTGCCCCACGTTTGCCAGCCCCCATGCCTGGCTTCTTGTCTGTTGCTGGCCTTCCTCCTTGTGACTTTGTTTTTCACCCCAGGACAATGCCCTGGGGCAGTTTCCCTGCAGAGAAGGGGCAGTTGTTCCGACTACCATCAGCACTTAACAGGTGACGGCCCTTGCTTGCTTTAGGCCACGTCTCCTCTTACCTGTAGCTTCTGGGCCCTACTCCCTCACCGCCACCCTGCCCCAGCCAGCTCGCCTTTTCCCCTGCCGAGGAGGGGATGGGGACCGGGAAGACCGTCACTGGTGCCAGCTCATCTCCGTTCCCCCTCAGGACAAGCTCTGACTCTGCCCTTCACACAAGCGTGATGAACCCCAGCCCTCAGAACACTTATCCAGGCCCGGCACCCCCCAGCATCCTGCCCGGCCGCCGTGCAGGTAGGTGGCCATGTCCCAGGCTAGGGAGTAGCCATGGAGCTTTGGTCTGAAGCAGGTAGGCAAGTGGGCACTGCAGCCAACTCCACCGCGTCCTTTGCAGGTTATCTGGATGGTGAGATGGACTCCAAAGGTAGGTGTCCTCACCACTTGTGGGTGCTGAGTGCCAGAGAATTTCTGGGCTGGTGCTGGTGGCTTTGTGCAGGGCCCGGGAGCGGGACTCCCTTCCGCCGGCCTCTGCCTCCTGTCCTGCCTCACTGGCTCCTCCTCCACCCCCCTCATGACCGGTCTTTCTCTTTCAAGTCCCTGCTATTGAGGAGAACTTGCTAGATGAAAAGCATTTGCTGAAGCCCTGGGATGCTAAGAAGGTAGGCATGGCCCACTCCCTTCTCTTTCCATGGGCAGGTCTTCCAGGGGCCTCCACTGAGCCCTGTCCTCATTCTCCACCTTCTTCCTTCTCTCCTCAGCTCTCCTCCTCCTCCTCCTCCTCCTCCCGACCTCGGTCCTGTGAAGTCCCTGGAATTAAGTAAGTACCTCTGTGAGGTTGGCCGAGGGGATGGGGAAGGGAAGTAGGGACCTGTGGAGGCTGATCTCTGCTCTTCCCTGACCACTGCCCCACCATTTACATCTTACTTTCCCTCTCCGTCCCCCAGCATCTTTCCATCTCCTGACCAGCCTGCCAATGTGCCTGTCCTCCCACCTGCCATGAACACGGGAGGCTCCCTACCTGACCTCACCAACCTGCACTTTCCCCCACCTCTGCCTACCCCCCTGGACCCAGAGGAGACAGCCTACCCCAGCCTGAGCGGGGCCAACAGTACCTCCAATTTGACCCACACCATGACCCACCTGGGCATCAGCGGAGGCCTGGGCCTGGGCCCAGGCTATGATGTGCCAGGTGAGTGACTGTCCTTGCTGTGTCCCTGGGGTGCCGTCTGGCTGGAGGGACCAAGGGGTGGGAGGCGGGAGCACCTGGGATCATCCCATGACTGTCCACCCCAGCCCATCACCTGTCCACCCCAGGATTCCCTCACTGTACTTTTCTGCCGGTGAGAACTGGTAGGTATGGCTTTTCCTAGAAAGAAAATGGAGAGCAGCCCCCAAGTGGGCAGGGCCAACCTCACTGCCAGGAACAGCGTAGGGAGGACATTGTGTTGCTGCTTCCATGGTCTGGTCACTACTACCCACGCTGGGCAGAAAGGGGCCCAGTTCCCATAGTAATGTTGGCATCTCTGGTTTTTTGTCTGTGCCTGCAGGACTCCACTCACCTCTCAGCCACCCGTCCTTGCAGTCCTCCCTAAGCAACCCCAACCTCCAGGCCTCCCTGAGCAGTCCTCAGCCCCAGCTCCAGGGCTCCCACAGTCACCCCTCACTGCCCGCCTCCTCCTTGGCCCGCCACGCACTGCCCAGCACCTCCCTGGGCCACCCCTCGCTCAGTGCCCCAGCCCTTTCCTCCTCCTCTTCCTCCTCCTCCGCTTCATCTCCTGTGCTGGGTGCCCCCCCTTACCCAGCCTCTACCCCTGGGGCCTCCCCCCGCCACCGCCGTGTGCCCCTCAGCCCCTTGAGTTTGCCCGCGGGCCCAGTCGACGCCAGAAGGCCCCAACAGCAGCTGCCCAAACAGTTTTCGCCAACAATGTCACCCACCTTGTCTTCCATCACTCAGGTATGCGTGGCTGCCTTCCCTCCATGCCTGTCTGTCTCCTTTCCGGCTGAGTTCTCTCCTTCCCACCTTCCTTTCCTCATGTACCTCTTCTGCTGACCTCCCGTACTCCTTGTCTCGTCCATCCCCTTCCATGCCCGTCCTCTACCTGCCCCATCTTTTACCCATCCTGCCTTCTCTTTTCTCTTGGCTTCAGAGCGCAAACCCTGGGGCTCAGCTTTCTGGTTCAAATCCTGGCTCCGTCTCTTGCTGGCAGTCTCCTTGGACAGTGGTTTAACTTCTGTGAGCCTCAGCATCCTTCTGTATAAAACAGGGATGGGCTTATAAGGATCAGAGGAAATCACATCCGCTGAGTGCTCGGCCTCGTGCCCAGCCCAGGCGCAGACTTGACCTAGTAGCTCATCCTTTCCCCTTTCTCCCTTTCTTGTTCCTCCTTCTCTTCCTGTCTGTCTCCTGTTCCGTCTCCTTTCCCATCTTTTCCTTCTTTCATAGATTTCATGGACTCAGAGACGCTCAGAGCATGGAGCCCAGTCCCTTCATTTTTACACAGGAGACTGGGGCCCAGAGGGAAAGGGACTTTCCCAAGTTCACATAGCATGTTAGGGAGAGTGGGGACCAGAGCGAAGAACTCTTGGTTTAGGGCTTTTCCTCAATGTTAAAATTCTTAGCTGTTCCCTCCCTCCCCATCCTTTTCTGTTTTGCTCCCTCTGTACCCCCTCTCCTCTCCCCTGCTTTCTCCCCCTCCTCCTCCTCCATTGCGCTTCCCTGGAATGTGTGTTCTGTGTTCCATCTGACGCAGGTCCCTTTCTCTGTAGGGAAGACTAAGGCCCGGCCAGCAAGGGCTCCGCCATCGTGGAGCCTGGAGTGAAGCTAACTCCCCTGCTTTCCTGCTTTTCCTTCTTCCTCTCACTCCTTCTGGCCTTCTCAGGGCTTTAGAATAGCAGTTCTCAAGTTCATTGATTACTGAGAATTGTTAAAGCACCGAGGTGTAGGAACAGTTTACCTCTGGACTGGGTTCAGAATTATTCTTGTACTAGCCTCACTCAGCCGCTTTCACTCGGATAAGCGGTTTTGAGTCATTGTGCCAGTTCTCGGGAGGCCCACGGGAATGCAGGCAGGTTTGTGTTGAGGATGGTTGCAGCTTCGGAGGGTGGGAAGCCTGACCGAGAGTTCCTCCTGGGAGCACACTGAAAGGTAAGCTTCCCCCTTTTTCCTTGCTTCTCTTTAGGGCGTCCCCCTGGACACCAGTAAACTGCCCACTGACCAGCGGCTGCCTCCATACCCGTACAGCCCCCCAGGTCTGGTTCTGCCTACCCAGCCACCCGCCCCAAAGCCTGTGCAGCAGCCAGGGCTGCCCCCTCCGGCCTGCTCAGTGCAGCCCTCAGGTGGGCAGCCCCCAGGCCGGCAGCCGCACTACGGGACACTGTACCCACCCAGCTCCAGTGGGCATGGGCAGCAGTCTTACCACCGGTCAATGAATGACTTCAGCCTGGGGAATGTGAGTACCCAGGTCCCTAGCTCCGGAGCAGAGGAGGGGCCTCAGTGGCATCATTGGTGCTGTCTGAGTTGGGACATCCAGATGGGTGGGGGAGGTCCTCCCTGCCCCAGGGAGCATGGCGCTGCCTACTTGGGGCCCCGCCTGTGCCCACCCCCAACTGTCTCCGCACAGCCGGCTCTGGTGATTCTAGCTTGGACCCATTGTCTTCCTCGCATGCACGTGCTCTGTCCCAGCAAGTACGGTGCCCACACCGACGGGCCCGTGCGCGCCTCTCTCTGCTGGCTGCCGTTTCCCCCTGTCTGCTTTTGTTTCGGGGGTGGGGGTGGAGATTGTTGGGCCATGGGGATGTTAGCAGGGCTAGGCAGGGGCAGGCAGGCACCCCGGTCCTGAGGCCCGCGTCCTCAAGGTCTGTCTGTGTGTCCACAGCTGGAACAGTTCAGCATGGAGAGCCCATCAACCAGCCTGGGGCTGGTTCCCTCTGGCTTTTCCGAAGGGTCTGGATTTTTAGGGGGTGAGGGGCCAGTGAGTGGCCTCCAGGACCCCCATGCCCTCAACCACCAGAACTTGACCCACTGTTCCCGCCATGGCTCAGGGCCTAACATCATCCTCACAGGTGAGAGGTGTGGATGGCGATGCGGGAGGGAGGGAAGGAGATACACATTTCCTGGTGTGGCCGGAGGTGGAGGGGTCCTGGCAGGTTTCCAGGGCCTGCGGTCCTCACGCGTCTCGCCTGCCCACACAGGAGACTCCTCCCCGGGCTTCTCTAAGGAGATTGCAGCGGCCCTGGCCGGAGTGCCTGGCTTCGAGGTGTCAGCCGCTGGGCTGGAGCTGGGGCTGGGGCTGGAGGAGGAGCTGCGCATGGAGCCACTGGGCCTGGAAGGGCTCAACATGCTGAGCGACCCCTGTGCCCTGCTGCCCGATCCCGCTGTGGAGGATTCATTCCGCAGTGACCGGCTACAGTGAGGGCACGCGTCCCCATCCCTCTTCTCAGCCCCGTTCCCCGTCACTGTCCCTTCCTCCCTTCCCCCTGGCCAGTAGAGACTCCACTCTCTGCCCTTAGATCCTCTTTCTAACATGAATGAGAGAAAGCCAGGGGTTTGTCCAGGCGGCCCCTGAATTCTGCACAAGGGGTGGGCCCGGGGAGGTCAAGGGAGGGCCTAAAGCACTTGTAACTTTGAACCGTCTGTCTGGAGGTCAGAGCCTGTTGGAGAAAGCGGGGGGTAGAGGGGAGCCCCGGAGGCAGGGCTAGTCCGGATGCCTAGGGGTGGGCAGTGCCAGCCCCTCCTCACCACTCTTCCCCTTGCAATGGAGGATAGAGCCAGAGTGGATATTATTTTTTATTAAATATATTATATGTTAATAAAAAAATCGTATCAAACCCGTGTGTGGGCTACTGTTTGGGCTGTGGCTGGGGGACTAGGGAGGGCGTGGGGCATAGGCCCTTTCATCCCTTAACACTTCGTGCATCTTCTCAGCACCGCTGTGGTTTGGGGAGGGCCCCCCAGCCTCAGAAGGTGTACCCAGCGTTGGACATGGGCGTCCAGTGGATGTAGGTCCCCAAGGCAGCACAGGTGCCCTCACATCTGTCCAGGGCTCTGCTGCAGCATCAGTTCAGGTGCTCGACTGGCCTGACGAGCTACTGCTCTCCCTCAGCCGTGCCACCTGGCAGTGTCGGGTGGGCCGGCGGCTGTCTGGCTTCACTCTCAGATCTAGTGTTGGTGGTAGAGTGACCCCGGCTTTCCCCTGGGGTGGCTGGCCTCAGTGCTGAGGCTCCCAAGGAGAGACGTGAACAGCTACTGACACGTAGGTGGCCTCTCACGGCCCTTTAAGCCTAGAGGACCTAGAAGTTAGGTGGTACCTGGCCAGCCTCAGGTCGCGGAGAAGCTCCGAGGTCTCATTCCCGCCCCTCACTGGGCTGGAATTCATCCTCCGCGCTCTGCTCCACTCGTTCGTGAGGCAGATACTTGAGCGCTAAGCATTTTCTGGAGCGTTGTCTCTGGCTTGGGCCGGGAGCTGGCTGGCCGTTAGAGCATCTGCCCTCTTCTGTACCCGCCCCCCCAGCATAGTCAGACGGTCGTGCCCCTCCTCAGTTACCCCAGCTCTACTACTCTTCCACACCCTGCAGTCCTGGCCTTTTCTCTTCCTCTTTCCAAAGCTCTTGTCATTTTCAGAAAAGAGAACTGAGAGCTTCTGGCTTAGCCCAAAGGGAATGCAGTGTGCCCTAAACCTGGAAGTTGGGGGAGCCACCTGGGTCTCTGCAGCCTGGGCCTTCAGGGCCTTCACCCAGGCCTGCATGCCACATCTGCCTAGGACCGAGGGCGGGACGGGAGGGGCGTTGGACCTTCAGGAGCCGGGCCCGGTCTAGTGTCCCGCTTCATCCGCTGAGCGGTGAGAAACTGCTGGTGTGCAAGGGGCCCTCCCAGCCGCCAGGGGTCGCGCTGCAGGCGGCCGGGCGCTGGGCAGGCGCTGCCAGGGTCAAGGCGGCCGGGGAGGGGGGTGGGGGGAGCAGCAGCGCC